ATCATTTCTGGACTCTTTTGAGCAGAGAGCGGCACAGCACATTGTTGCGCAGCGATCCAGGCAGCTGCTTCCAGCGCACGGTCCATTCTCAAAGTGGCACAACCAAAAAACTATAATTAACACACGATCGTTCATGTCCGCACATGTTCTCTATTTTCTGTCTTATTTGTGCCTGAAGCGCGCTACTGCAGAGCTCATCACCTGCGCTGTGGTGATGTCACCTCACGCAGCATCGAAAACGCGCTCTGCGCTTTGCGGTCAGGAGATCACTTTGATCTGCTCAAAAGTAACCGATGAGGTGAAAAAGTAAGAATCCAGGCAGCAGATTTTCTGGAGAGTTTAGAGGAGATGCAGGAAGATGAGAGACAGACAGGACAGGAAATAGTTAAATAAAAACAAGAAAACAAAACAAAGTGTTGAAAAGTAAAATGTAGTTAGATTTATCTCCACTACACGTTTTACCAGTAAAAACCAATAAGTTATACACATGTAATATTTATACATCTGATACAATTCAGATCACCTTCAATACTCAGTCATACACCCAGGGCCGTTTCAAGACATTTTGGGGGCCAAGGCAAAATGCCCCCCCCCCCCCCCCCCCCCCCCCCCCCCAATAACTGTGCTCCCCAGAAGCCTCTGTGTAATTGTTACCCTCTCCAGTATTGTTAGTTATACAGTGTTTATAAAAGCTCCTCAGACATCACTGACATGTTCTAATATTATCAGATGAAAAACTAAATTATCAGACACGCTGTCTCATCTGCTTCTTTTCTAAACTTGCAAAAAGTAACTAAACTATTTGAAAGCCACTATTTGTGGATTCTCTGAAAGTTTCCATGGAGTGTGTGACAACTTATTTTTTCATTGATCCTATCGTCTAATCTCACAGCTGAAACAAGCATCCTTAATAATCTGTGCACAGGAAGCTTACCGATGCTGTAGTAAAACAAAAGGTATAATAATTTATTATTAATAAAACCTTGTTGCAGCACTAAAGCAGAAAAATTAGATTTTGCATTAAATATGCAAAATATTTACTTATGAATTGTTTTAGAGCCCTTTTATTGGCAGAATCTGATATTAATTTAGTTCTTACAAAAAATGGGTCCCAACATGGTTTGTGTGGCGTTGCCATAATGTGACGTCATAGGCACAGATCCCCTGTCCTCTTGTTTGGAAATGGAAATATGGTCACCCTATTAAACAATCTGTCCACCCGGGCTTTTGCGCTGCACAGAGACGCTTCGCTGCCTATGACTTTGAACGTCAGTTGAGAGTCAGTCTTAAGCCGGGCGTACACTGTGCGACTTTTTCACTCGCAGCGTTCAGCTTCAGCTCAAACTGTACGACTTCCTCACAGAGCAGATCTCACGAGTCGTGTGCTCACACTGTACGACCCAGTTCTCGCATGCGACCTGACTGCTCACACTGTACGTCTGGTAGCAACACGTCGGACCTAAAAATATGCTAAAAATAGCAGTTTTACTCAACACATCAGACTTTTTTGTCTTGCCTGTTGTCCTTCGGGAGTGCTGCAGGACACACAGGGATTTATGGGGGTTGGATGAGGAAAACGAAATAAAGAAAGTGAATCTGTGTTTTGTGATCAGTTTAATTTGACATGAACATGACAAACACACTTTCTTGACAATCTTTGTGAGTAAAAAAAACGTGTAGAAACAAAAACGAACAGCATGTGTTATTAGGGAATTAGCGAGCAACCGGCGTTGATGCAGGATTGCGCGCGCATGCGCCGTGAGCGGTTCTGATACTTTTTTGGATCGTAGCTGCTCGCAGCGCCGCTTCAACAGTGCGATACCCTCACGAGGGACGAGCGAAATATTAAACACACCAGAAGTCCCTGCGACCTCACGACTGCTGATCGGCGGCTGGTCACGTGGTGTTAATCGCCTCTCGTAACCCCCTGTACACTACACGACCGCTCGGCGCAAAACTCGCCCCGATGTCGTGGCTTCTCGCACGACTGGAAAATCGGCTCAAAAAAGTGAAAAAGTCGCACAGTGTACGCCCGGCTTCATGCAGACTGACCAATGAAGAGAGGGCCTCAAGTTAAGACCCTCTCCTCATTGGTCAGTCCACACGAGGTGGGTCAAAGGTTACTCTGGCCGGGTTACGTGTTGTCAGGCATTCAAGTATTGAGTATATTTACTGCATATTACAGTAAAATATTCTGTATGTGACCACATTATGGGGATCCTCGGGTCGTGATGATGGAGCCCTTGAATATTGTTGCCCAAGGTACAACAAAGTGTTAATCTAGCCCTGGTTCCGCGGTCACATTCCCGCAGAAACTTGTTGATCACACCGGGGCCAGACTACTAGCATGTGGTTTTACAACCACAATGTCCTCGGAAGCAAAAACGCTTTTAAAAGGGAGGGATGAGTCCTAACTGTTGCTGCAGGCGTGTTGTGTGAGAGTGCAGTTATATACTGGTTAATATATTTTTGGGTTCAGTTGCTTTCATTTGGCCTAATGTGAGTCTATTTGTGTTCATTGGAATGATCAGCAGCATTTCTTGATGTGACTTTATGGCAGTTGCCCAGGGCATCATCACAAGCAGGATGGCATTCATTTACTTTTGTTTTATTTGGTATTTTTCAGTCATTTTTGGAAATAGTGATCAATTTTGATTAATTCACAGCCCTTGTTTAATTACATTTAAAAATTAGTTGTTTGACATCCCCAATTATAATAAATGTCAACAGATGAGATCAAACAAAACAGATGAGAATTGCCCTTAAGCTGTTTAACTTGGACCAAGCATTTTAGGTCACAGATAGATGTAGCTTAGGGTCTCTGTCTATACACCTTATAAGACAATTTAGGTGATGGCATGTTGTTTTTCTGCTATTGAACTGTTTTCTAATAATGTTGTTTTAAATAAAGTGAAGGAAGGAAAGAAATAACGTTTCCCTAGCAGTTTTTAAAAATTTCCCCATGTAATCCGATTAATCGATTAATTGCGTCGAGACCCCATCTGATTCATCGATTATCCAAATAATCGTTTGTTGCAGCCCTAGAGTTTTCCTTTCCACTGTCGCTGCATGCTTGCTTAGTATGAGGATTGCTGTAAAGACTCTGACACTAGTCAGTGACTCGATGCAATTTGATGGGTTCCTTATAAAGGAAACTTTTTTCTGATTGGCTTAATCAATTGACTTATATTGGAATGTTTATTATGTAAAGTGCCTCGAGACGACTCTTGTCGTGATTTGACGCTATATAAATAAACTTGAATTGAATTGTTTTAGTTCTGATATCTTTGTAGTCCTTGTAGGCTTGTATGAATTATTCCTGCTCTGTCTGGATGAAGAACGAAGTTCTGTCCACTCCTTCCATTCTCATTTATCTAGCTTTGATTAACAGGGGCTGTCTGTGGATGCCATCAACATATAAAAATGTGGACATAGCCTGCCCATTGTTCTGCGGGGGGCAGGTTGAAGCCAAAAATGGGAGGTTCCCACCACTGATTTTTCACCATGTCACACGTCTCATCATGCCTGTAACCAGTGTAACTACTAGCTAATTTAGCTAACCCATGAAGCTAAGAAGGGCTCCGGGGACAGGGGTAGCCCACCCGCATGGCCGACTGCCTCACGTGCGAGGCTGTAGTCATGCTAGTTGCCTGTGGAGATCTAATATAAATTGAGACTGGTAAATTACAAACAGAGCCTCAGACCATTGTGATCGTAGCTGGGTGCTGTGGCCTTTTACATTAGCTCATGCTCCAGATCAGCGTGACATTAGCCACATGCTAACCTGAAGCTAGCATGAGTATTCCGGGGCGTTTTTAGCAATTAAAACGCGGTAGAGCTACTCAAAAGTGAAGGCACTTCTGGCCTGCTTGGTAACAAAATCATAACTAAGTAAGCTGACCGAAGATATCAGGCTTCGCTGGTCCACCGCGGTCAAAGATCTGCGAGTCCGCCGTTGTCGATGGTCCCGGCTCTGTGCTGAATGACCAAGCGGTGTTATGGTAAATGAGTAGAATTTTACCCAATTCAAATTGCACACACATATCCACTAACACGTTTGACCAAGCAGTTAAATGGCACAGCATTCCCCCCATTCAACCAGCGAAATAAAGTACAGGAATATAATTTTACTTACTGATAAAAAGAAGCAGAAACTGCTTGATCAATAACCACACTTGCCCTCTGTCCAAATAATTCCATGGTTAACATCCAAACACGAACACAGAGGACTCGGAATAACTTTTAACGTGAGGCTGAGGCATTTTCCCAGAGCTAGCTCTGAAGTGGATGCTCATTAATTATTCAGAATTTTAATTATTTAATTCCACTTAAACAGAAAAGTAACAAAATAATTCACCCCCCTCAGAGTTGTCATGAATGTAAACTAAATCTATTTAACCTAGAATGGTGTTTTTGAACCAGGTTGTAAACATGTTTGTCTTTACTGTGAAATTGGCGCTTTTAACATGGGAGTCGATGAGGATTTGCTCACTTCTGCTGCCAGCCCCTAGTTGATGCTGCAACTGCAGTTTTTGCTGCTTCCTTTTTGGCTTCATTTTCATCCCAGAATTATGGGGGTGTCGTGGATGCACGTGAGCCTTGCTTGCCGCTCCTTGCTCGGGTCGTAGGGGATTAAATCCACCTGACAATCATTCTTGGAGCCAGCAAAACTTGGAGGGAAGGGGAATGCTTTGTCAAGCTGGGATTCATCAGGAAAGCCCAGATGTTTTAAACTCCCTTTCTGTGACACCCCCCAGGTCATTTGCTGGCAAGTGTAGGTGGCAGTCAGATTGTCCATTTTCCTAACCCTAACCCTGGCCCAAAACTTGGTGTTAATCATAAAAGGTAAAAATAAACAGACAATCAAAACTTTTCAAAGCACCAATCCAAAAATACATTTTTATTATTAATCAGCTGATTGTGCTTTAACCTATAATCAGGTTTGAGTCACAACCATCTAAATGATCTTAACATGCATCGGTAACAATGTTTGGTCACAGGTGCTGCGAGTGCTGGCAGAAGGGGTTGAGACACTTTCCCTCCAAGCTGGGCCTGGCATCAATGGGGTGACTGCCATTGTTTCTTTCTCCTCGCATCATGCAGCATCAATGGCCAAGAGGGTGCTGATGGAAGGTAGGAGCCCCCTTGCTGGCAGAAACCTTTCTAAGTTGGTTTGGTCCAGTCAGCACTTGTGCTGTAGCATGTTGTTGACTTTTTACTGTTTTCCTTTCCTCGTTGGGGCAGCAGTTATGTTCAGAAAAATGAAGTTTTTATTCATGGATTTCTGTCATTTTTTTGTTTAGATTTCAAGAAATTTTTTTCTCTGGATGTCTCCATCAAGTGGCAGTTAGTAGAGAAACAAGCCGAGCACTGGTATACTCAGAAAGCTCCTAAGAGTGTACTCCCTCCAGACTCAACACCCATTCCAGGGTTCTGCAGAGCAGTGGGGGGTCCGACTGCCACCTCGTCCTCTCTCCCTGGATACCCTCCCTCCCAGGGATGTTTGGTGTTTGCAGCATCCCCAGGCCTGCTCCTTTGCAAGATGTGTGAGGAATTGGGGTTAGGCCAACCACTGGTTGAAATATACTACAGTCACACCAGGCCAGATGGGTTCCTGCATTTCACCTACATGGTGCACATTCCAAAGATGAGCAAGACATTCAAGGGGATGGTCAAGATTTTACCAGGACCCAATGCACTGAAAGAAGCTGAGACAGCTGCAGCCCAGCAAGTTCTGGAGAGGATCAGAAACCTGGCTGCTGGAACACCTGCTCATCACCTCCAGTTCTGATTTATGTGATACTGAGAAAAAAACAAGCTTGCATATTTGTGTTCCTGTGTGATTTTAGTAGTGGGTAGTTTGTATATTTGTGTTCCTGTGTTATTTTAGTAGTGGGTAGTTGGTTTGTATATGTGTTCCTGTGTGATTTTAGTAGTGGGTAGTTGGTTTGTTGTGTGATGCATGTTTTTATTCTTTTGATTTAAAAAAAAATAAAATTTAAAGCAGACATAACATGAAAAACCCACTTTTTTATCCATTAACACAGTGTGTTTCACATTTTAAGTGTCTAAGTGAGCAAAAAGGCTTATTTTATTCACTGGAGTTGCTATTTAGATATTTAATAATTAAGTTTTGGGCATATTTGTCCACCCGTTCAGTTTTTCAAATTATCTATTACATCAGTAATTTATTTCGTCAGGATAACTACCAAATATGGTAATGGCCCTCGGCTAAACACAGAGCCAATCCGCCATTTTTTCTTCTCGCTAAGATTTTTTGTAGTCCTATTGGAAAAATGCAGAATGTCTGGTTATTTTAGCCACACACAGCTCAAAACTGTTCCTCGTTTTAAGGAAGGGTGGTGTGGCAGTATTTAAACCCAGGAGCTGATGACACTAGTGCTAAAAAAACAGAAGTAGTGTGTGTGTGTGCGTGCGGTTCGTTCGTTCGTGTCTCCCAGTCTAGTAAGTACTGAGGGCTTCATCTATCTAAAAGGAGTCATTTCCATCTGAATGTGACAGCACCGGGACACAGCAGCAGAGCGGTAAGCTTCATATCACTCTAAAATGTCGACAAACGTTACTTTAGGTTTACGGGCATTAGCAGCACTAAAGCGTTAGCATCCGACTTGCTATCGCTAGCACAGTATGCTAGTAAAGTTAGCACCCAGATTCATGTGGATTTGGCCGATTTTCGTGGAATAAAACGTGATCTGGGATTTCTGATCAACAGAGCACCAGATGATAACCTTCCACTGATTGTAGCAGCAGAGAGCCTGTATGTTATTCTACGCGAGTGTGATGTAATCTTAGCATCCAGTAAATAAAGTCCCATATCAGCTAAAATGCAGCGTGACAAAGTCGTTAAAGTGCGTCAACACAGTGGATTTAATAGAGTTTTAAAGAACAATCTCTGAGTGAAGTGAGGTTAGTTTTTTGTCTCACTGCAGATATAAAAACTAACTCTGCATCAGTCAGACGCAGCAAAGCTCACCGTCTGTATGAGCGTGAGCGTCGGAAAGCTGATAAAATCAGCTGTAAAATAATTAAAACAAAAGTAAAAATGCTCCTTTGCTTTTTAGTGTCCACATCCAGAAGGCTGGAGCCATGTTTCACTGACAGGCTGTCAGACTAACGCCCTGATGAGCTCAGCTGGAATAAACTGGTTTGATGTTTAGGTAAGTGAAGATCTGCTTCTCCAAGACCTTGAAATGCTAGTAAAAAATAATTTAGCCAGCTTGCTAATGTTACTTTAATTCTCCTCTAAGGAACACAGAACGTTCAGATGTCGGAGCTTCACATCAGCTATTGAGGAAGGAGACCCACCAGTAAAGAGACGGTCTGGACCAGACCAAAGTTAGTGATGACACACTTCAGCCACCCTCATCATTAAGAACACCTCACCCCCTGAATCACTCCATCTGATGACAGCAGAGTGATTTATTTGATGTTTTACTTGTTTAGTCTGTTTAGAAATTATTGAATTACATTATTTTCTGTAATCGACCATCTGATCTGGACGTGTGCAGAATAACTTTCCCCAAGTTCAGCAGCAGCTGGCCTACAAAAACAGCTGCAGCATGTAGTAAGTCTGTCTGCACTGCTCTCTAATGAGCTTCCTTTCATAAGGAATCATTCGTATAATTTTAGTGTCACTATTTTATTACATCTGTAGGAAAATATGAAGTCACTGCAGCAAAGTGAACTTGTAAACAAAGTAAACCAAAACAACACAAACGTGACTATAAACATGAAAGCTAAAGAACCAACTTTCCTAAAGCTGCTTGTAAACAAAATATGGCATTAAAGTTATTGTCTCTCATTGCAGAATATGACGATGACATCATGGAACTGGTCTTTGGAAAAGTTTTCCCTGAACCAACTCCGTTTCTAGATGAGGTAGAGAAGATCTGCATCTCACCAACTCTCTGGTCTCAGTATTCAGACAACAGAGGTCTCCCACTGTTATCCAGGACCAGTTTGAAGCCCACATACTGCCCCTCCCTCATCATCAGGCAACATCAGTTCCTATCCTGAGGACAACAGAAGACGGCAGGAGGACAGGAACTCTTGAGACCTAGACACCACCAGCACCGAGACACAAAGCACCTGTGTGCACAATGCCTGTTTAACTACTAAAGCCTGTTTATTATATTGTTCTACTTATTTGCTGTGCAGGTTAATACTTAGAAAATGTGTATATTAATGTAAACAATAAAAAAATCACTGATTGTATGTTTTCTTTTAGATGTAATGGTCCAAACTCAGCCTTGTAGACATTTATTGCATCCTGCAGGTAAATACACAGAACAGGCTCAGGTCCAGGATGACCCAGCATGCTCTTCTTCCATTCTGGCTGTTAAGCCGGGTGTACACTGTGCGACTTTTTCACTTTTTTGAGCCGATTTTCCAGTCGTGCGAGAATCCACGACATCGGGGCGAGTTTTGCGCCGAGCGGTCGTGTAGTGTACAGGGGGTTACGAGAGGCGATTAACACCACGTGACCAGCTGCCGATCAGCAGTCGTGAGGTCGCAGGGACTTCTGGTGTGTTTAATATTTCGCTCGTCCCTCGTGAGGGTATCGCAGTGTTGAAGCGGCGCTGCGAGCAGTTGCGAGCAGCTACGATCCAAAAAGCATCAGAACCGCTCACGGCGCATGCGCGCGCAATCCTGCATCAACGCCGGCCGGTCGCTCGCTATTTCCCTAATAACACACGCTGTTCGTTTTTGTTTCTACACGTTTTTTTTACTCACAAAGATTGTCAAGAAAGCGTGTTTGTCGTGTTCATGTCAAATTAAACTGATCACAAAACACAGATTCACTTTCTTTATTTCGTTTTCCTCATCCAACCCCCATAAATCCCTGTGTGTCCTCCTGCAGCACTCCCGAAGGACAACAGGCAAGACAAAAAAGTCTGACGTGTTGAGTAAAAACTGCTATTTTTAGCATATTTTTAGGGCCGACGTGTTGCTACCAGACGTACAGTGTGAGCAGTCAGGTCGCATGCGAGAACTGGGACGTGCAGTGTGAGCACACGACTCGTGAGATCTGCTCTGCGAGGAAGTCGTACAGTTTGAGCTGAAGCTGAACGCTGCGAGTGAAAAAGTCGCACAGTGTACGCCCGGCTTAACGGTATTTATTTAGAATGCAGGTAAGATTTAACTATATTTGTTAGCAAAGCAGACTGATCTTGGGAATTTCACTGCAGCACTGATGTCCACCTCTGTGTACACATTAGAGAGAATTACCACGGTTTTTAATAAAGATATAGGCTACGCATTGCAGACAATAAAAATAAAGTTGTAAGCATTATAATTATAATGATCACATTAAAGAACATTTGGAGAAATGTTCTTTATTTTTGACTAGAATCTCAAATCTTTAAATTAAAATGTAACTGCTTTTTATCCATTTTCACCCATTAAGACACCCAATATAAAATAAGACTACTTATAAAATTATTTATAATTATATGTATGTATATAGATAGAGATCTTAATAAAATATATTCTTTCAATGGTGTTTTAATGAGCTGTATCATTTTTTATAGAAATAAATAAGCAAGCAGCATTCCTTGTGTGTGTGTGTGTGTGCGCGCGTGTGCCTGCTCGCTTGTCCCTCCGGGCGTGTGTGTGTGTGCGTGCGCGTGCCTGCTCGCTTGTCCCTCCATCGGCCGTGACGGGTGTGTGAGTGACTACAGACAAATGCATGAGAGAGTTAGCAGCCTTGAAACAGCCTGATGAACAACTCTCCCCACATGTTTTAAAAATGCTTATGCTAAATAATGATTTCTCTATAGAACTACAAAGTCCGACTGGGGGAGGAGAGTACAGGTCTGCAATGTGGAGGGGGGCGGAGTTTACAGCTCCTCCAGATTTAAAGAGACAGTACCCAAAAACGGCTCGTTCTCAAGACTCCTCAGAATAGAGCTCCGGGAGTTGACGTCACGTTTCCCGGCATGCAACTGTTCAAATCGAAACGGCGCCATTTGGCAGGCAGAAGCCGGCAGCTGGACTATTTGTCATTGTCAGAAAACTCAAACGGGAAATATGGTAGATTCCTGTTGTGCCCCAGGATGCAGAACAGACGCGGATGACATAAGGAATGAGTCCTCTACAGGATTCCCCAAGATCCGGAGCGCCGCAAACGTTGGATCATTGTAATAAAACGCGCTAGTGACCGGGCGAAAATGAAGCTGTGGGATCCCGAGAGTAAAGGTTTTCACTTATGCAGCGACCACTTCATTTCAGGTACTTAAACCAACGTTTCCTCAACTGTGTATGGTATTTATTTTAAATACTTTTCTTACGATTCTTAGTGGGCTTCCTAAACTTATTTTGGCGTGGCTTTTTCTGTCTTATTACTATGTTATTAACCGGCTAAGCTGTATTTTATTTTTAAGCAATGGTTGATCATTTGTCAGATCACACATAAAAGCACTTTGGATTGCTATTATCTGTCTCACCGAGACTACTTACGTGTAAATCTGTTATTTGTCCGTCCATCCATCCATTTTCATCCGTGTATCTGGAATCGGGTTGCGGGGGCAGTAGCGTGACTTCCCTCTCCCCAGCCGCCGGAGCCAGCTACTCCGGGTAAATCCCAAGGGGTTCCCCGGTCAGGTCCGGTGTTGTGCCGGTAAGAAGCCCGCTCCGACAGCTTCTGGCGTCGGAGCGGGCAGTAGAGTCGAGAGTCCCAGACCTCTCCCCAGCTCCTCCGGCCGGGGTAATCCCAAGGGGTTCCCCCGGCCAGGTCCGGTGTTGTGCCGGTAAGAAGTCCGCTCCGACAGCTTCTGGCGTTTTAAAAAAGTATCCCAGGGGCACGGTAAGGGTCGGAGATGTTTAGTCTATTTAATTTCTGACTATATAAAACGATTTCTTCTGTTTTAAAGTGTGAAGTAAACTCCGATGAAGTAAAATCCAAGCGGATCCCGTTCATGTTCATGGTTACATCCGTGTTTGTTTACCTTTTTTGCATGCCAAAATGGCGTCCACTAACTGAGAGTCACGTGGGGTCCGGCGCTCTATAGGGGTAGATGAGGGTCTGTAGAGCAACAATAATGAGGAAATCAGACCAAAGAACTGCAGTTCCACTGTATTTAGACCCCAACTGAAGGATTTAGATGTAAAAAGGAATAACTTAAAAGCATGTTATGTCTCCTTTAATGTAAAGAAAAGGTTGGATGTTGCAATTTGTACACTAGAGTCTAGGGCTGAAACAATTGATTAAATCCGTAGAAAAATTTTGTACTGATTGAAAGCTTCAGTAAATGTGCACACCACCGTCTAAACACATTTTACTGGTGCACAATGTGGTGATCCTGGTGCTGTGGAGGAAAATATAGAAACCAGCAAAGACACAAAACATTGTAAAAGGCACAGTCCAAAGTTTGGGATCAAGAGTGAAACTATTGGGTGGATTAGCTAATGCTAGCATGTAGCTTGCTCATGGCTATGACTAAACTCTACAATTGGAAGGAAAATCCCCACCATTCCATTTATTTGTGGGAGTCTGCAGCCTGCACCGCTATGGAGCAGAACTGCAGCAGCTAGCTCGAATCTGGTTGTTGCTTTGAGTTTGCTCCACAAGCGAGAAGGAGTAGGACCTGGCTGCAGACATCAGCTGGCGTGCCACCGGAAGAACTTTCTAGCGAGAACAAGATGGCAAGTCATTACATTTACCGGAAAATCGACGAGTGAAAGACCTCGGCCGGAAGTTGGTCTTTTTTGGCAGCTGCTTTAGTTTCAACCATACTCGGCAGGTTTCAAAGAGGAAAGGTAAGGATGAAATTAACTAATTGTTGCAACCGTTCTTAGTTCTTAATAGGCACTATAGCATTTAAAGCTTTACCAGAGAATTATTACAAAGGCACCGTGTTTCATAGCTAATTGTATCAATACTAACACGCAGTCTTAAAACTAATGCTGGGAGTTCACAAGCTAACACAAAAGCTACATCAATAAAGCAATCAGCAATTGTAGCTTAGCTTTAACTTAGCTATTTGATTTTTCCGGTCTCCCTGTTTGTTAAAACAGTTAAAGTAATATTAACTTTATATATAATTTAGATATGATATAAAGACCACGATTTCTAATACTGACTTGACTGAAACGTTGTTAATACCCATTTTTTAAATAAAAAGCGTAGATTTTCAGAAGTTTGTAAGTGGTTTCAATCGCTAGTTTTCATACAAGGCTAAAGTTAGCTTCCGATTCGGGAAATGGCTAAAGGGCTAATACACCCAATTTTTCTCTTCTCTGACCATTTTTAATCTGCTCTAGCTCAAAAACTACAACACATACACTCTTCAAACTTGTTTTAGATTATTCTAAGCTCGTAGGAATGCATAAAACATAGTTTGTGATTTGTGAAACCTTCCTCGGATTTGTGAAACTTCAAAAAAGACAGATTTATGAATTTATTTTTCAGCATCTGGCGCACACTGGAACTGGTCCTGTGCACCCAAAAAAAAAAAATTTCTGGACAAGCTTAGCTTTCAATATCTCTAAATATTTTTCAGTTATTGTGTGGTATTGTGCTGGGTCATTCAACTGTGGTTGCACAAATCAGGTGTCCTGCAACAGGTACAATAACTTTGAAATAGTAGCCGCTTCTCTAATTATTGCCTCCCTCCTTCTGATTCTGTTTTAGAATAATCCTAACCTTATAAAAAATAGATATTTTTGCCAACTGACTGCTTTGATCGGGTTTGGTTTATGTTAATATTACCGGATTTAAGCACATTTAGCTGCAAATCATTCAGGAGTTTGAGGCCTTTAAATATAGATCTAAAATGAATATCAGACTTCTTCAAGTGACACTGACAAAACTCCTTACATGTGCTTGTATTCTTCATTTGCTAATAAGATGTATTTTTATCTAAATTACAGGACAATCGAGGCTTTGAAAAATGGAACCCAGGCAGTGATTTCAGATGGTGAAATCAAGGTAATGTTTAATTATAATAAATTAAGGCTCTAAAATTGGACATAGGATAATGCAATCCCTTGTTTTCTGTGGTAATGTTGCTTATTTTTAACTCTTGTCTCTACTCAGACTGTGTATAAGGATCTCTGCAGTGGTGGAGTGAAGTCTGGCCGCATGTATCTGTGGCACAATCCAGGTGTCTCGCTTAAATTAATGCAAAGACTAAAGCCACTGATGTTCCACTTTGCTGATGCACAGGTAAAAGTATACTGACTTACAATAAGCTGCATCACATTTATTTATCTGGATGCGTGGCCAGTGGGACATGGGTCCGTTGTCTAATGCCGAGAGGAATGTTTTGTTCATATTTATGTTAACGTGTTTTATAGGTTGACGAACTGACAGAGCGGATTGGTTCATGCTCAGGAATAGATAAACTAATAAAGAAGGGAGAGTTCCAGTTTCTGGACTTGGTGTTTGATGTCCTTGTTCCAGAGGTACAAAGCACTCTTCAGGAGTGATTGGTATAAAAGTTACTTTTTGAAAACATTTGACAGTGTATGAAGTAATCCTTAACAGAGTTTGGTGGCAGGAGAATCTCGTCTCTGCTTTTTGCGGATGATGTGGTCCTCCTAGCTTCATCCAGCTCTGACCTTCAGCTCTTGCTGGGTAGGTTCACGGCCGAATGTGAAGCGGCTGGGATGAGGATCAGCACCTCCAAATCTGAGACCATGGTTCTCGACCGGAAAAGGGTGGCTTGCCAACTCCGGGTCGGGGGAGAGGCCCTACCTAAAGTGGAGGAGTTTAAGTATCTCGGGGTCTTGTTCACGAGTGAGGGTAGGAGGGATCAGGAGATCGACAGGCGGATCGGTTCAGCATCTGCAGCGATGCGGACGCTGAGCCGATCTGTCGTGGTGAAGAGGGAGCTGAGCCAGAAAGCCAGGCTCTCGATTTACCGGTCGATCTACGTCCCAATCTTCACCTATGGTCATGAGCTTTGGGTAATGACCGAAAGAACGAGATTGCGGATACAAGCGGCCAAAATGAGTTTCTTCCGTAGGGTGACCGGGCTCAGCCTTAGAGATAGGGTGAGGAGCTCGGACATTCGGGAGGGACTCGGAGTAGAACTGCTGCTCCTCCGGATCGAAAGGAGCCAGTTGAGGTGGTTTGGGCATCTGGTCAGGATGCCTCCTGGACGCCTCCCCAGGGAGGTGTTTCGGACATGTCCTGCCGGTAGGAGGCCCCTGGGTCGACCCAGGACACTTTGGAGAGGTTACATCTCCAATCTGGTCCGGGAACGCCTTGGGGTCCTGCCGGAGGAGCTGGTGGAGGTGGCCGTGGAGAGGACGGTCTGGAGCTCCCTAGCTGGGATGCTGCCCCCGCGACCCGGACTCGGATAAGCGGAGGAAGACGACAACAATGAAGCAATCCTGCATGTTTTTCAGGTATCAATAAAAGTGTTGGAAAAATGGGAGGGGATGAATCGATATGCAGCTGAGAAAGCCATGCTTCAGCAAATTCATTTGTACCCAAAATAAAATGGTTGTGAAATTAAGTGTTTCTTTGGTTTTCTTGTCTTTCACTCAACATAAATACCAACTAGCTAAATAGTTATCAGCTGTAGTAGTTCAATTCTGTAGCAATGAGCTGCTGTGATACACAATAGGACAGGGTTATGGATATTTTGTAACCAATTTTTGTTGCTGGTGAGAGAGGAGTGTTGCTGAAATGTTTTTCACAGCTTCTGGGAGTTCTGTACTTAAGCAATTGGTGTAGGTCAAAAGTTCATCTTGGGCTTAACAATAAAACTGAATATTTAGCAAGTACTATTTTGTTTGCACATTTTGAAAAGTCTTAGTTTAATGTGTTCTCATTTTTTCCATATATGTTTTTTTTATTTACAGCCTTTTATTGTTGTGTGTGTGTGTATGTATACATACATATATATATATATACCGTAAATCCTCTAATACAGGCCGGTATTCAATTAAAGGCCGGGTCTCCAATTTTGGCCGGTGTCGGAGTCAGCGGAGTTAAATAATGGCCGGTCTCTTATTGTGGCCGGATGGAATGAGAAACAAGCAAGTACGAGCGTCCCAGCGGCAGGGTTATAGTCCCCAAATCAACTAGCAGGAGTGTGACAGCAGTGTCTGTCACCTCATGGACATGGTCTGCTGGTGGTGTTTTCTGTGTTCTGTCCAGGATGACTGGTTGATGTGCACACAATCAGTCTTCTGTTTATGAATGTATGTGTTAATTTTGTGTTTCTGTTTTGAGTTACCAGTGACTTGGAGTTTCCCATGGAGTCTCACACCTGCAGCTCATCTCCTCAGGAAGCCTAATCGGCACTCCTGGGATCTACCAACTCCCAAGGGAGGGGAGATTCATGTTTATACTTGTGTCAAATTTAATGTAGATGTTTTCTGTTATGGAAAGGAAGTTTGTAATTATGATTTAGTTATTTGAGTTACCTGAATTGATTAGACTGGTTAGTTTGTGTGTGTGAGGATGTGTGTGTTAATTGTATGTTAATTGTTCCCCTCTTGTATGTAGAGTGGTCTGATCAGCCACTATTTTAGTTGAACCTGGTGTTTCTGAAATGTTTTTGTTTTCTGGAGTTAGTCTTGTGCTGTGATTGGGTTAAAGTCTCTGTTACCTGTGAAGCTGCTCCAAAATAAAATGGAGGTTTTTGAGTCTCATGAGTAGTGCGTCTCTGGTTGGTTTGAGCAAGTCCCTGACAAGGTGGCAGTAGGGGTTCACGCAGTACTTTATTAGGCTTTTTCTTCAACGCTTTGTAACGCTACAGACACGATCCTCTATCACGCTCCTACCACACAGAGTCACGGTGTCAGTTAACCATGCTAATTCAACCCGCTCCACAGAACACACATCACCTTCCCTGTGGCTTACATAACACTCACACAACACGCAAATGAGCACATAGGAACTAGCAGAACGATAGGAAACACATATAACACAATACCCAGAATGCACCTGGCTTACAACCCCAGCCAGGTCATTACACTATCAAGTTCAAAGAGAACGTGCTGATTATGCTGCAGAACACTGGAGAGCAGCAGTAGGGGGTGTATGAACTACAGTAATCCCTTGTTTATCGCGGTAGATGCGTTCCAGACCTGGCCGCGATAGGTGAAAATCCGCGAAGTAGGGACTCCCAGCATGCCCCTCGCGGGGATTCCCTCCACGTCGCACCTACGTCACAAACCGCGGCTATAAACGGAAGTCGCCTTTCCATCTTACCACTCAGTCATCGTTTCTTCAGATTCATGATCAGAGTTTCCAACCTACCGATCAATCCAACAAACTATCAGCTCATAGTAAGTTATCTAACTTACTTCTGGAAAGCCCGGCATTTCCGTGTCACTTCGTTGACGCTCGAACGCTTGGGGGTTTCCTAGAGCAGCCGGCGTTTCACCGACGCTATCACTTCCGCGTCTGTGAAACCACGCTCCCTATTGAATTATCGTATGATCACATTCTCTTTTTGGGGGTAAAACTCAAGAATTTTTTTTTTACTTGGTTTTTTTTAGTTCTATTACAAAAAGTGCATTTTATGATGAAATTGATGAAAAAAAAACAAGAATTTCTTGATATTTCGCATGGGGGGGGGGGGGGGGGGGCAACGCGCTGTGTCAGACCGTAGGTACTGACACGCGATCGTTCATGTCGGTTCATTTCCTTTAATGTTTTCTGTCTTTTATTTGCGCCTGATGCGTTTCGCTGCATGCTGTGGAGCGGGGCGCTGCGCGCATCACCTTGTCCTCCGACGCACTGATCACTGATACGGCCGCCAAACAGGAAGCACTCCGCTGTTTTTGCGGTGTGTAGATCTTTTAGAACTGCAGTTCAAAGGTAACTCATGAGGTGAATATATATATGAACCCAGGTAGCAGTTTCTCTTTAGGATTGAGAGGAGATGCAGGAAGATAATAAACAGACAGGACAGAAAAATAGTCAAATAAAAACAAGTTAGTTTTTGTACCTGCTGTTGCAACAAACAGACACCACTGAAGGTCATCAGAAGTGAGGAACAGAAAATGAAATAATTATTTTAATGTTTAGAGCAGCAGGAACTCCGAGAGGCTGCAGGCGCATCAGTGAGTTTGCGGCTGCTGTGCAGGGGGAGGGGGGAGAGGGCTGAAGCAGAAACTACCGTTGTTAAAAGAAATGTGTTTAACTTTGAAAATGTGGGCGCACTTTTAATTGTCAAAAACTCCAGCGAACCATTAGTTCATTTTGCTCAAATAGAAATAGAGGCCTGCCTCTAATACTGGCCCTCCTTCCAATAAAGGCCTGGAGCTTGATGAGCTTGAGTCAAATACAGGCCCAGGCCTGTATTAGAGGATTTACGGTATATATATATATATATATATATATATATATATATATATATATATATATATATATATACACACACACACACACACACACACACACACACACACACACACACACACATATGTACAGTTGTGGTCAGAAGTTTACATACACTTGTAAAAAATATAATATAATGGCTCTACTGAGTGTCCCGTTATTTCTAAAACTCTGATTTTTCTCTGATAGAGTGATTGGAACAGATACTTCTTTGTCACAAAAAAACATTCATGAAGTTTGGTTCTTTAATGTCTTTATTATGGGTTAACAGAGAAAAGTGATCACATTTGCTGGGTCACAAGTATACATACAGCAACATGAACTAGCAATTTTGGTGACTTAGAAACGTGTCAGTGAACTGAGCTTCATAGCATGGCCTCTTAACTTCTTGTGAGTGATTATGAGTGACTACAGCTGGTGACTTCTCTTAGGCCAGGTAAATAGGGCTCATTGGATACAAACGCCCACAAACGCTACAATGGGAAAGTCAAAGGAGCTCAGCATGGATCTGAAAAAGTGAATTATTGACTTGAACAAGTCAGGAAAGTCACTTGGGGCCATTTCAAAGCAGCTGCAGGTCCCAAGAGCAACAGTGCAAACAATTGTTTGTAAGTATAAGGTGCATGGCACTATTTCATCACTGCCAAGATCAGGAAGAAAACGCAAGCTATCACCTGCTGCTGAGAGAAAATTGGTCAGGAGGGTAAAGAGTGAACCAAGAATCACCAAAAAGCAGATCTGCCAAGAATTAGAAGCTGCTGGAACACAGGTGTCATTTTCCACAGTCAAACGTGTTTTGCATCTCCATGGACTGAGAGGCTGCCGTGCAAGAAGGAAGCCCTTGCTCCAAAAGCGGCACCTTAAGGCTTGACTGAAGTTTGCTGCTGATCACATGGACAAAGATGAGACCTTCTGGAGGAAAGTTCTGTGGTCAGACGAAACAAAAATCAAGCTTTTTGGCCACAATGCCCAGCAATATGTTTGGAGGAGAAAAGGTGAGGCCTTTAACCCCAAGAACACCATGCCTACAGTCAAGCATGGTGGTGGGAATATTATGCTGTGGGGCTGTTTTGCTGCCAATGGAACTGGTGCTTTACAGAGAGTAAATGGGATAATGAAGGAGGATTACCTTCACATTCTTCAACATAACCTAAAATCATCAGTACGAAGGTTGGGTCTTGGGCGCAGTTGGGTGTTCCAACAGGACAATGACCCCAAACACACATCAAAAGTGGTAAAGGAATGGCTAAATCAGGCTAGAATAAGGGTTTTAGAATGGCCTTCCCAAAGTCCTGACTTAAACCCCATTGAAAACATGTGGACAGTGCTGAAGAAACAAGTCCATGTAGAAAGCCATCAAATTTAACTGAACTTCACCAATTCTGTCAAGAGGAGTGGTCAAAGATTCAACCAGAAGCTTGCCAGAAGCTTGTGGATGGCTACCAAAAGTGCCTAATTGAAGTGAAAATGGCTAAGAGACATGTAACCAAATATTAGCACTGCTGTATGTATATTTGTGACCCAGCTAATGTGATCACTTTTCTCTGTTAACCCATAATAAAGACATTAAAGAACCAAACTTCATGAATGTTTTTTGTGACAAAGAAGTATCTGTTCCAATCACTCTATCAGAGAAAAATCAGAGTTTTAGAAATAACGGGACACTCAGTAGAGCCATTATATTATATTTTTTACAAGTGTATGTAAACTTCTGACCACAACTGTATGTGCTATTGTCATAAAAATTCCCTGTCTGAAAGACAAAGGGATTTAATATTCAATTTTCATGCAACGTAGGTAACGTTATTTAAAAGTTTGCCAGTCCAGATCTAAAGGAAAAAAAAATCCGAAATAAATAGCTTTTTCCGGTAAGTTTTGTTTTTAAAAAACTACTTCCAATGAAAGTAATGACTTCTGGTTAAGGTAATGACCCACCGTGTAATTTTTCTCTTAAAGACAGGGTACGCAAGATTTAAATGTGAAATAATTTTAAAAATGTTTAATTTTGACCATCTGACCTATTTTTATTTAAAAAAGTAAATAATCTTTAATATTTCAATTTTCTCCTTAGTCCCTCCCCTGCCCTGTAGAGCTCAGCCAATATTTCGAGAAGGGTCTGGCTGCGGCCGCTGTGGAGCTCCACAGTAGCCGGAAACACGTAGCTTTAGTTAAATTAACTTTGACAGCGAAAACTAAATAGCGATTTTGTTACTATTGATGCTGCTGAGAAATAAAAGACTCCTGTGTGAAATGTATGGTTGTAGTTGTGTGTCTTATTTTGAAATAACTATTTACGCGTTACCATAGCGATCAGAGAGCATTAAGCATGCCCGTCTGAGAAAAGTGTATAAAGCATGTAGTGAGGGGTTTTACAGTCTTAACATCTATAATAATTGTAAAAAATAAAGTTGGCTACTTCATGGATTTCACCTACCGCGGGTTATTTTTAGAACGTAACTCCTGCGATAAACGAGGGACTTCTGTATTATTAATAGTAGAGTCTGGGACATCTAATTGATTAACATCAACATTGATTACTATGCACTATTATTTTTGTTCAACGGTGATAAAGTCCTAATGTCTTCATGAAAGTTCCTTTTTTTCCCCATCTGAGCATCGGGGAAAAGGCTGTCTTGCAATTGCTGAGGTCACTAGTGTGTGCCCCATTTCTTCCAGGATCACTCTCTTTATAGGTTTTAATGGACTCCTAGGACTGTGAAGTGGTTTCATGGTACAAAGGCATTGCATTCCAAGATCTGGGAGACTGTAGAAATGAGCAGTGATGCCCTTCCTACCATCTTTCCAGAAAAAGTGATCTGGAAGCTGTTAGGCTTACTTACAGCAGCAGCAGCACATTCTGCACCTGCATAAACTCCAGGACACATTTACTAAGTGTTTGTTGCTGTAGCTTTGAATTTTTTAATAATATATATTTAGTTAATATTTTGGTTGTGCTGTCTTGTTATGAAGTGTACAAGAGTAAGTGTTTTTAGCATGTGCTTCAAAGCTAAGTTTGACTGGGAAACTCAAAGCTAAATAGTCTATCAACAGAAATTCACTGCAGCCTATGTAATATTTGATGCGTCATAATTTATTCTACTCTATCTTGCAAATACATATTTGTGTGGCAATGTCATGCACAACACACACAACTATTAGATCCTTAAGATCAAACCCGTGTCATTCTTTTGGTCCGCTGCAGTGCAGCAGTCAAAAAAAAAAAAAAGTGAAGTGGCCACAAATGGCCAGGATAGAGCCCAGAGTGCTAATGTTTAAAATGTATACAAATATTATTGATTACAATTCTTTACTGTTAATATCAACAATAAGCTTTTTATTTTGAAATTACAAGTATAAAAAAAATGCTTTTACATTTAATGCTGTTACATTGTAATCCTTCATTATAAGTATGGACATAGAATCAAGTGAACAACATTTTGAAATGTTTAATTGGAATTTTGTACTATACAAAAACAAAACAACAACAACATATTAAACAAACAAACACAGTCAGTGCCTTCATTTGTCCATTACATGTCAAACATAGCACTGACCCTTAGTCCCTGCTCATCAGCACATGCTTTCAAAAAGAGCTCCATGTCCTCTGCAAACTGAAAAACAAAGAGGAACATGTCCCTTGCTCCAGCGTCTTCTTCCTCTGACATGTCTCTTAAGACCCTCTGCTGGTCCCCTTGATTTAAGGACAGATATTTTGGCACTGTTACGTGTCCACAGAAAAGTGCCTTATTTTGGACAACCCACTGCACAGCAGGACGCAGATCTTCAACAACTGCTGGCTCCTGTGTCAGGCACTTGGGGATAAAAACATAGCTATTTCTCTGTTGCAGAACAGTTTTTTAACAGTTATTAAAATGTCACTTACCATGTAATTACACTACTGTTTAAAGTGAATACTGACCTGACTGACTTCCTGGAACTTGCGCTTTTTCAGTCTGAAAATGGGCTCGTGTTGTCCTTCAAGCACAGCTTTGGCTTCCTCTCTCCAGTGTGCAAATAGCTTGCCAGAGTTTAACAGAAAATGTTGATATTGTTAAGGTGTGTAAACTTTGACACAACATAGAACAGAAGTCAAAATATAAATACCTCCTGAGATCAAAGTTCTCCATCAACAGCAAGCACCACCATTTACGCAAGTAGGGCATGTCTGACTAAAATATTAATATGAAACATATTTAACAACTTTCAAAAGATTCAAGACTCCATTGCTGTGAAAGTAAACAGAATACTTACTATAGTATAGTCAAATGGTGCATCGAGTGCCACGTACAGAGCAGACTATTTGGAAGAAAAAATAAAAATGTCATTTTTTTAGAAGCTTAAATTAGCTTCTGTATGAATCTCAAGAAGAGAAGAGAAAAATTACCATCAGCATGAAGATCTCACAGTCAACTCCGTAGTCTTGGCTTGGAAAACCCTGTATTACATTGAAAATAAAGGCTCGTTAATAAAATCCCTTAAAAGAAGACTAGTGTAATTCATATTACTCACCATACACTTAAACTAGCACCTTCAAGTCAAAGCTGTTTTTTTCTGACCACTGCCCGGGAATGAGCTTCACTGCAAGATTCCTTTTTTTCAAGACAGTTACATTCACAAGTTAACAGACATCATCATGATGGGTGTGAAATGTTTATTGCTAATAGCACCAACTGTAACTACAGGCCTTAGGAACACAACCTCAACAAAACAGCATAACAAAATGAAAAAGTACAGTCACATGCTCACAGTTGGTCAAAATAAAGCATTTTCAGCTTTAATTTGAGGTTGGCATATTTTATAAACTAATATTTAATGGTGTTTTATGTTAAACTAAAACGTTTGAAGACCCTATTTATGTCTGAAACTCATCTAAAGACAGCATCACTGACTTGATCAGAATGTGAAGATGAGAAATAGAATAAAATGTTGAAGCATCGTGCTGATATAGTTTATAAAAAAAGCATGTGAGTGTACTGTATGTGTGAACACTCAAGATCAGCAGAACATGATCATGCACTTAACCTGGAACACTGAACAGGTTCCTGAAAATTCTGGAACAAACCAAAAATGCTTATAAAAATGTGACCACAAAAGTGAAACATATTGTTGGCCACTAAATCCTGCCTTGGTGTATAATGGGTCAATGTAACATATATATATATATATATATATATATATATATATATATATATATATATATATATACAGTGGGGCAAAAAAGTATTTAGTCAGCCACCGATTGTGCAAGTTTTCCCACTTAAAATGATGACAGAGGTCAGTAATTTACATCATAGGTACACTTCAACTGTGAGAGACAGAATGTGAAAAAAAGTCCATGAATTCAGATGGCAGGATTTTCAAAGAATTTATTTGTAAATCAGGGTGGAAAATAAGTATTTGGTCACTTCAAACAAGGAAAATCTCTGGCTTTCACAGACCTGTTACGTCTTCTTTAAGAAGCTTTTGTGTCCTCCACCCGTTACCTGTATTAATGGCACCTGTTTGAACTCATTATCTGTATAAAAGACACCTGTCCACAGCCTCAAACAGCCAGACTCCAAACTCCACTATGGCCAAGACCAAAGAGTTTTCGAAGGACACCATGAAAAGAATTGTAGACCTGCACCAGACTGGGAAGAGTGAATCTACAATAGGCAAGCAGCTTGGTGTGAAAAAAATCAACTGTGGGAGCAATTATCAGAAAATGGAAGACATACAAGACCACTGATAATCTTCCTCGATCTGGGGCTCCACGCAAGATCTCATCCTGTGGGGTCAAAATGATCATGAGAACGGTGAGCAAGAATCCCAGAACCACACGGGGGAACCTGATGAATGACCCGCAGAAGGCTGGGACCACAGTAACAAAGGTCACCATCAGTAACACACTACAACGGCAGGGAATCAAATCATGCAGTGCCAGATGTGTTCCGCTGCTGAAGCCAGTGCATGTCCAGGCCCGTCTGAAGTTTGCCAGAGAGCACATGGATGATACAGCAGAGGATTGGGAGAATGTCATGTGGTCAGATGAAACCAAAGTAGAACTTTTTGGTATAAACTCAGCTCGACGTGTTTGGAGGAAGAAGAATACTGAGTTGCATCCCAAGAACACCATACCTACTATGAAGCATGGGGGTGGGAACATCATGCTTTGGGGCTGTTTTTCTGCTAAGGGGACAGGACGACTGATCCGTGTTAAGGACAGAATGAATGGGGCCATGTATCGTGAGATTCTGAGCCAAAACCTCCTTCCATCAGTGAGAGCTTTGAAGATGAAACATGGCTGGGTCTTCCAACACGACAATGATCCCAAACACACCGCCCGGGCAACAATGGAGTGGCTCCGTAAGAAGCATTTGAAAGTCCTGGAGTGGCCTAGCCAGTCTCCAGACCTCAACCCCATAGAAAATCTGTGGAGGGAGTTGAAAGTCAGTGTTGTTCGGCGACAGCCCCAAAACATCACTGCTCTCGAGAAGATCTGCATGGAGGAATGGGCCAAAATACAGTTGAAGTGTACCTATGATGAAAATTACTGACCTCTGTCATCATTTTAAGTGGGAGAACTTGCACAATCGGTGGCTGACTAAATACTTTTTTGCCCCACTGTAAATCTATACACACATCTATGTAATGCATGCAAGTCTAGTAATTTCCTTTTCCTCCAGTCACTTATTCTTAGTTTTAAACCAGCCTGCATATTTGCCATCTCCAGGATTATCCTGAGACATGCATTCCCTATCTGTTGATGTAGCATACAAACAGCATCAATTAATTTTTAATGATTATTTTATGAAAATATACTTAATCAGTAAATTGTACATTTGTTAAGCACCATTGCATCCATGTCTCTCTGAAGTCCAAGGGTCAAGATGTCATTTCTGGAAAGGCAAGTTGGTCCGTCTTTGATGATGAGCTCACTTCCAGGTCCTGTCACATCCAGGACATAATTGATCTAGGGTAACGAGTATTAAAAAAAGAACTATTTATCCAACAGTTAACAATAATGACAGTATGCAGAAATATATGTTTACCAGCTGCTCCTGCAGTGGATGATGACCCTTTATAGTCCATGAGGTTCTGCAGGGCTTTAGAAATGAAATGGCTGTTATGGCCTCACATTTCCTCGAACACTGGTTAATGTTCACGAGATCCAATCCCACTGTATTTAAATAAAGAACATCATCATGTCCTGCTCATGAGACATGTTTGTCTAACAAACCATTTATATAGATGGCTTTCCACAAAAGGATGGCCAACTACCTTTGGGATCTGCTGGAAGTGGAGTTCCGCTCAGAAAAAGTGTAGTTTCTAGAAATTATAACTTAACCATCAATATAGCAGTGCATACAATACATTAAACATTCTTAACTGTTTATTTTAAATTACACACCCATTACGGCCTTTCCAGATGAATCCAGTGTGATATCTGCTGATGATATTTTATGAATGTCGGCCAGGGTCTTCTCATTCAACATGGTATTGTGATGATAAATGATAGCGCGCATGAGAAAGATACCGTAAATCCTCTAATACAGGCCGGTATTCAATTAACCCTCTGATGCATGAATTATGAAATCTTCAACCATGATTTTTTAAACATTTTTTTTCAGTCATCTTTAGGTGTGAATGAAACAAATTTCAACAAATATTTTTTGTACCATTTTGTTAATTTACAAATACGTTATTACATGTCCATCTCAGTGGACAACGTGCATTCTGAACATGAAATATGGTGGCTTGACTTACTGAAGTCCAAATGGAGGGGCTCACATGCAATAAAGTCTTCAACAGCTGTGCTTAATAGCAAAAATAACAATTTTGAGTACCTGTCCACTGTAGTGACCATTATGCATCAAAGGGTTAAAGGCCGGGTCTCCAATTTTGGCCGGTGTCGAGTCAGTGGAGGTGAATAATGGACGGTCTCTTATTGTGGCCGGGTGGAATGTGGTAACAAGCAAGTACGGGGGGCGGTTGTGTCATCGTCTCACTTTTGATTTGCCAGTGATAGACCGCGAGGGTAACTTTAACCGTGCGGAGAAGAAGAGGAGGCGAAAATTTGATATCAAGTTCAAAGAGAACGTGCTGATTATGCTGCAGAACACTCTGGGGAGCAGTAGCAGGGGTTGTATGAACTAGTCGACTTCACTATAGTGACTTTTTATGCCTGTCGTCGACTAGTCGCTGTCACATGATAATGACCGGCAAGATGCAGCCCTCGGAAAAGACAGCAGCCTGCTGTCAGCAGGTGACAAGCTCCTGCGCTCGGGGGGGGCAACGCGCTGTGCCAGTGCGTCGGTACTGACACGCGATCGTTCATGTCGGTTCATTTCCTTTGATGTTTTCTGTCTTTTATTTGCGCCTGATATGTTTCGCTGCTGTGGAGCGGGGCACACCTTGTCCTCCGACGCACTGATCACTGATGCGGCCGCCAAGCAGGGAGCGCTCCGCTGTTTTTGCGGTCAGATCTGCCTCCTGAGCACGGCCTCAGTAACAATCAGGTGTTGCCAAATTATTTAACACGCGATCGTTCATGTCGGTTCATTTCCTTCGATGTTTTCTGTCTTTTATTTGCGCCTGATGCGTTTCGCTGTGGAGCGGGGCGCATCAACTTGTCATCCGGTGACGCACCAATCACTGATGCGGCCGGCAAGCAGCGAGCACTCCACTGTTTTTGCGGTCGGTAGATCTTTTAGAACAGCAGTTCAAAGGTAACTCATAAGGTGAATATATATGAACCCAGGTAGCAGTTTCTCTTTAGGACTGAGAGGAGATGCAGGAAGATAATAAACAGGCAGGACAGAAAAATAGTCAAATAAAAACAAGTTAGTTTTTGTACCTGGTGGTTGCAACAAACAGACACCATTGAAGGTCATCAGAAGTGAGGAACAGAAAATGAAATAATTTTTTTAATGTTTAGAGCAGCAGGAACTCTGAGAGGCTGCAGGCGCATCAGTGAGTTTGCGGCCGCTGTGCAGGGGGAGGGAGGAGAGGGCTGAAGCAGAAACTACCGTTGTTAAAAGAAATGTGTTTAACTTTGAACATGTGGGCGCAATTTTAATTGTCAAAAACTCCGGTGAATCATTAGTTCATTTTGCTCAAATACAAATAGAGGTCTGCCTCTAATACTGGCCCTCCTTCCAATAAAGGCCTGGAGCTTGATGAGCTTGAGTCAAATACAGGCCTGGGCCTGTATTAGAGGATTTACGGTATGACTTCCCGGAGACATCATATTTAGAAAGTAGTTATTCTTCCTCATTTTGGAGAACAACTGCTCTGCTACTTGAGAATTCACCCAACCGTGCAGTTCGGGTACCAGTGACATTTTCCTCAAGCAGTCTTTTACTTCTCTTGTGTTGGCCTCGTGGAAAGTGTCATACAGAGCATAGTGTGCAGCTGAACCTGTAGAGGGGTGTGCATTGCTGTCTGCATGCTGCTTTTTAACCTTCAACCATGGCAGGTTTACTTTCAGATCACCTTTCTGGGCAGACTAAAGGTCTTCTGGCGTGGCATCAGCAAGTCTGCCTTCATTTGGCATCAAGGGGATTTTTGAAGGTTCACGCAGGTTTGTGTGCGTGGCCAAACCTCTTGCAAAATCACATATGACTGCATTAGGAAAGTGCTTAAATGATAGCAACATATCGCAATAGTCCCTCGGACTTTCTGCCCTCACATTGAGTGTGACAGAATTCATGATTCCACAGGGACACATTATAACTTCCCAGCCACCTTAACAAGAAACAAAGAAAGGGACGTTAGAGATTATATTATACACACACACACGTTCGACCGGGTTTCGTCAGTTGATCCCAGCCTTACAGCCCCACCCTCAGCTCCACCTCTCTTCCCTTTTGTGGAATTGTCTGGGCTTGACGGAACCTGTGACACGGTCAAAATGGCGGTGGTGGCCACCTCCCATTTAGCCTCAAAAACGTGTTATTGGAGCCTATGGAAATGAATTGTCCAGTATATATGTCGATGATCTGAGGACAGACTGATTAATGAAATTATTAACTTGAAGGTGAGACTAGCGGTGATGCCTGGGCTAACAGACCACAACAAAAACACCTGAAAACAACCCATACTTTTAAATCTAATTTATGTTAGCATCTTTGCATTACAGTTTCTGTCTGTTCAAGTATTTGCCCATGTTTTCACAGGTTGATGCAGTGCGAAACCTGGCCAAACAATGTGGCCTTGAGTCCACGGGTTCCAAAAAGGATGTTGTCATCAGGTTGAAAGAGCAGATGAAAAGTCACAGTGCTTTTGACAAGGTCTTTTCAAAAGTGTGGGGTGCATCTGGTAAGCTTATTGAAGCTAGTTCGACCGGGTGTCGTCAGTTGATCCCAGCCTTACAGCCCCACCCTCAGCTCCTCCTCTCTTCCCTTTTGTGGAATTGTCTGGGCTGGACGGAACCTGTGACACGGTCAAAATGGCGGTGGTGGCCACCTCCCATTTTAGACCAAAAACTTGTCATTGGAGCCTATGGAAATGAATTGTCCAGTATATATGTCGACGGTCCAGACATGCCAGCCGCACCTGTAATCGTGCGTCTCGAGATCCTTCCGTCGGCGAACCTGAGGAGGTCGGAGCAGACTTTCGTAGTTTTTCCCGTCTCCGTCGTCTCACCCTCACCATCCTCTGCAGCAGCAGGGACACCAGGATCGTCGCACTCAGCAGAATTGGCAGAAGAGCCTTCTGGTTCAGTTTTTGTGCCAGACTCATTCTCAGTCTTTAAAATCCCCATTTCCTCTAAACGCTCCACAATAAGCAGTTTCAAGTCTCTTTTCAGAACAGGGTTTGGGATGTCAAGAGCAAGGTTGACAGCTATCTGCAGTAGGTCAGCCTTGCGGCAACGCCCCAGCACCTCACAGGATGGAGCCTCCATAAATGTCTCCACACAAAACTGAGCCATGTTTAAGAGCACAAGAACAAAAGGACACAACACAAAACAGCGTGGGTTTTGTGTCTCCCATAACCAACAAAGAGCTGCTAATTGTTAAAACTAGTCCAAACGTTTGGCACGGGCTTAACTGATCTAAAACAGGCTATAAACATGTAATAAAACAGCTATAAATCTCGGACGAGCCCCCATTAATGTTACACCCCTCTGTGGGCTCAGCTAGGAGGGAGAGGGGAATAAACATAAGATGGACACGTATAACGAAAAGTGTAAAAGGCTTGACCAAGCAAAACCAAACTCAGTGTCCTTGTCTTTTCAAAAGTTTTATTAAAAAGGAAAAGAACAACCAAAAGAAGGGGCCAAAAACCCCTTACCAAGAAATTAACTAAGTTAAAAGTAATTATCTGAAAATGTCCAGAGGACCAACCACTCTATAAATCCTAAAATAAATCTCCTTTATTTAAAAGGCTTTGAACTCAAGAAGGGGCAAAAATCCCACCAAGTAGTTAAACAAAAGGTTTGTCTCAAAGACAAACCAAACAAAAGTACTAACCTAACTAAAGTTGTCCAAAATACCAAAAATGGCTCAGGAAACAGAGACTTCAAAAGGGGAAACCCCCACCCGGTAAATTACCAAAGATGGTCCAGAGGACTCACCAAACCAAACATTACCGGTTAACTCACAATTATCCCTAAAACACACAAAGTCCTAAAGTTACTTCTTCCCAAGAAGCAAACCAACAAGCCGGTTAAAAACCACTAAACCCTCAGACAACCATCAAGGGGAGAGAACACACGTTGCTACTGCAACCCACAAACATTTCTCTCCCCTGATGAGCTCCAGCTGGACGCTTTTGAAGAGCCAGCTGATGAGGTGCAAAGTCCCAGCTGGCATGACTGCTGCTCTGGCGCTGTCCATGGTCCTGAAATTACGGACGGCTTCCCAAGTAGTAGCTGTCCACGGTGCTGCGCTGCTGCTGAACAGGGAACGGAGCGCAGCCCACCACTGGGCTCCAAAACGGTGGCGGCCGTAACATATACGTTGTAGTTCTTTTCATGATTGTGGGTCTAAAGGACCATACCAGACAATTATAGATGAGAGTATGCTTTGGACAATGGCAATGTAAAACTGAAACAGGATATTGTGCCTGACTTAAATTTTTTTAGTTGTCTAAGGAAGAATAAACATTTATTTGCTTTTTTGTAAATTTGATCTGCGTGCTTTTTCCATTTAAGGTTATTATTGATGAGCGTACCTAGAAATTTATATGACTGATTATAATGGGTTGGTTGGAAGTTGAGATGGGTATCTTGTGTGTGGGAGAGCGGGAAACGGGCAAAACTGCCCAAAGATAGGTGTGGCAAGCTTGTGGCATCATATTCAAAACGACTGGAGGCTGCAATTGCTGCCATAGGTGAATCAACAAAGTACTGAGTAAAGGCTGTGAATACTTATGTTCATGTGATTTATCACGTTTTTTTTTTATTTTTAATATATTTGCAACAACTTCAAAGACACTTTTTTCACTTTATCATTATGGGATGTTGTGTGTTGAACTTCATGGGCAAAATGAATTTAATCCATTTTGGAAGGAGGCCGTAACATAAACAAAACAGTGGATTAAGTGAAGCACAATGAAGACTTTGCGGATGCACTGTAATTTTTCACGATATCGCTTCTGCGTCAGCCCATTTAAAGCTTCTGCATACTTGCTTTTGTTGTAGAGCAAGACACATTAGTTTAGCCTGACTGCAGGGTCTCAGGAGTGAAGCCCAGCAATGTGTCAAAATGTTTATTCCAAAATCCTCTTTGAGGCAAAAAAAAAAAAAAAGAGTCCAAGCTAAAAGTTAATGAAACAGATCAATTATTCCTCAATTCTCCAAGTGAAAATGTAGACGGGATTTTCTGGACACAGTTTAATGAAAAGATCAGGTCACCAGAAGAAGTGACTGAACAGTGAAGTGTGAAAGTCTTTGATCCAAAGCGTTTACATTTCAGGGAAGCTGCGTCGCTGACTGACTCTTCTGGAGCTTCTGTTACAGCGGGGGGGGGGGGGACCGATATGAGCGTTGCACGCTCCTCGTTGAGCCATGCCAGTCTTTATGGCTGCACTCAGGTCCATCATCCTTTACCAAAGACCAGATCAGGACTTTAGGAAAAGCTTTGGCACAGCCACAGTTAGGCCTCGGAAGTTCTCCTCCTGATCTCCCTGATGAGATCGGCTCGGGAGAAATCCACCTGCGGAGGCAGAGGTTCTCTTAGTTTAAAATGGCAGAGCTGTAAAACACCAGCTAAACCAGTCACCGCACTAGACGGCCTGCTTGACCCGCTATGCTAGCCTCTCTGAGTGCATCTGTGGTACCTCCTCTCTGGTTGCCACCACGCGGAGTTTGACCACACCGTCCTTCAGCTCCTGTTCTCCCAGTATGGCCACCAGTGGGATCCCAGACTCCTCACAGTGCTGCAGCTGGCTGAGCAGTTTGGGGTTCTTCTTATACATCACCTCCGCCTGGGCACATGAATGCAACATCACCCTGTCACTGCGAGTGATGAACCCCACATCACAACTGTCAATCAGGAGAAACTCCTTAACCCGTTATCTGAACAGAAAGCCCCTGGCTGCCAGCGCTTTAGAGCATCTTTACTGTTGTTTGAAGAGTCAGTGATTATCGTGCTTTATGACCATATAAGGAGTTGACTCACTTCTTACATCAGGAAGAATCAGTGTGTTTCTAGCTTTTTACCAATCTTTCACAATCCGTTGTCAAAGTTTGATCTGCAGAAGTTTTTCCCGGTTAGCGTCTCGCTTCAGGCACAGCGTCCATCTCCTAATACTTCATGATCACATGACACACATGGACGTAAATCTACGTTAGAGCCGTGATGTTTACTCTCAAGGTTCACGAGCTCGCTCCCAAACACGCCCCGTTAAAAAACGCAATTAATGGCGTTTAACGTTTTGCTTCTGAGCAGATCCCGTGGCCGTGGGGGTTGATTTCGAAGCAGTGGTGCAGCGCCATGCCTGAGCCTATGCAGGGGAAACGGGGAAAACTTACAAACTCATCCGGGTTCTGACGGTCTGAGGACCGAACGATGGCGCGTGCGCGCACACACACACACACACACACACCTTTATTCCAGCCTTCCACAGATCAGTGACCAGCTTGAGTCGCTCCTCCAGCAGGTTCTTCTGAGCAGATGCCACCAAGACCTGAACCTCTGTCGTACGGACCTTGTCTGCTGAGGACTGAACAATAAAGTTTTATTAGTTTCAACACGGCCACTCACCATCAGAACAGGAAACAGCAGCAATCACCTCAGCCTTTTGCTCCATGATGGTAAAAATCCTCTCGATTCCGAAGCTTACTCCAACACATGGGACCTTCCTACCCTTGGGGTCAAACATTCCCACCAGACCATCATATCTGCCCCCCCCAGCCACGCTGCCCACACTCACGCTGTCCTCTGCCCCGTTTAGGGTGTCACCAGACAGCCCTGCTTGAGTTAGTACTGCTTCATAAATGAGTCCGGTATAATAATCCAAACCGCGGGCCAGGCTCAGGTCAAACACCACCTGCAGAAAAAAAGACGTCAAAACGACTCTGGCAGAGACCAGCGAAGCTCAAAACATCACAGCGAGGAGAAATAAGGGATATAAAGGTAGGGATTTTACTTCACAGCTGCTTTTTTTATGTGTGTGTGTGTGTGTGTGTGTGTGTGTGTGTGTGTGTGTGTGTGTGTGTGTGTGTGTGTGTGTGTGTGTGTGTGTGTGTGTGTGTAACTGCTCTGCAACTTTGATGTTTCATCTCCACAAATAGCACCATATTTATTTATCTGAAGGCGTTAGCTGTGAGGTGGAGTTGCTAATGCTCATGGTTAGCTCAGACGCTAACACGGGAGATGGGTGTAGGAGACTATTTTCATGTTCAGCCTGCATGAAACACTCAGAGTGGCTGATTATCAGAAATAATCATTAAAGAACTTTTTTCAGTGAACCACACCTTTAATTATATTTGCCTAATGGCCTTTTTTGAGATTCCGTAAAAAGACAAAAGGTTGGACTGTTGACAGCTGGTCAGGGCTAGCGCTGAAGGATGGAGACACCTTAATGAATTAAGATCCTACTAGTGCAGGTGTTATTATGAATATTACTCATTATTTAAAAGTAATCTCTACTTGTTCATAACTTTAAAAATTCCATCAGTAACAATAATATTTGGACAAGGATAAATTATATTATGTAGAACAGGAATTACAGAAAGGTGTAGATTAAATATTAAAATGAGTTGCTGTACCGGCGTGTTGTAGACATATACAGGGGAAACGAGGAGCTAATCTGTCTGCGTGATGATCTCAGAGACGATAAGTTGGGAGTGTTGTGTTCTGCCGGCTCTGCAGATGGACGAGCCGTCGTCCTGAATTTGTCTTTTAGCAGCTTTGGGAGTCTAAAATATTCCCTCAGAGGAGACTTGAGAACTTCCTAGGAGGAAACGGAGCAGTCCCGGTGGTTCTGCTGCATGCGTTTGTTCACTGTGATCCGCTAATATTTTTTTTATTTACGGTGGGTTAACCGCGGCGTTTCACACCGTGGTCAATAGTCAAACCGGTTAATCCTTGCACCCCTACTCCTGATCATCATCACTCTTCTACTGCATCGTTCCACAAATGTGGAATGACCTTCCAAGCACTACCAGAACAGGGGCTTCCTTTTCGACTTTCAAGAAACTCCTGAAGACCCTGCTCTTCAGAGAACCTCTTCTAAACCAGCACCCTCCCTGCACCCGTCCCCCTCTCTACTGTCCACTCCTTGTTCCCTCCTCTCCATGATTCATCATGCTGCCTCTCTGCCACCTACTCTGCTTCGGACAAAAGCGTCTGCTAAATACATAAACATGATTCAAACTGGACACAATTATAAGAGAAAACTGTAGTTTTACTCTAGAATTTCCTGTTTGTGCGTGCAGCGCTTTTGTTTACTGAAGTGGTTTATGAACGTTTATGTGGAGGAATTCCCAAAACGACTGGAAACCTCTAGGTTTCAGGATTTAGACAGATGTTTGAGCATCTGAAAGCATCAGCGGTAGGGCTGCTCGATTATGGCAAAAATGATTATTGTGACTGAAATTGAGATCTCAATTTTTTTAAGACAATTTTTCAATTAATGTTGATTTTATTTGTTTATTTATTCAGTCATAAAATTGCTCAGGGCACAATCAGGGCAAAAAGAAAGAAAAAGAAAGCAACGAGATAATAAAAAAAACAACTCCTGACTCCTGGTATAAAAAGGCCAACACACTTGCTCATAGTTTATGACCCAAAGGGCCGAGGTTTAACTCATTCAAGCCTAACCAATACAGACCCAAACATCCAGCCAATATCTTGCAAATATTATTATACAGTGGCATTCATAGCATAAATAAAAACAAACATATGTTTTAGTGACGGTCAAAAAATGTTGCATAATATTTATTTAGTCCAGTCAAGCGGTGCTGTATGTGTGTGTACACTAGCAACGTGTCCTCAGAGATTAATTCATATTTATCAGCGTGAGAAACTTATTTCTGTCTGTTTCTAAACTATTTATTTACAGGTCCCAACCCAGTCTCACAGCAATCAAGGGCAAGCCGTGTGTGTGCGTGTTTAGCACACCACACGTGCACATTATGCCGTTTTAGCAGCTCAGGAGCCTGCAGGTACGGTGTGTGCCACTCACTCTGGTTAATCCAAGAGGAAGCCGGCTCTGGGAGCATTTTTTTCCCCCTAATGTCCGGTAAGACGGTCCGGAGCGCAGGTGGAGTGTTTTGCTAACCTGCAGGAAATGTCGACAACAGTTTTCCAGAAAGTAGCTAAGGGTTGCCAGAAATGCTTCTACATTGCTCGCTAGGCACTTTTACAACTTAAAAAGTCAAGAAGGGGGTCTGAAAAGATGTTAGAAACAGCAACTAATTTGCTAAATTGGCAACAATGTGGGAGGAGCGCTTGATTTGCAACTTGGAGCAGCACAAGAGGGAGGAGAAAATAATCGGCTTGTTTTGTTTTTGCAATCGTTCCAAACTCCGATCGTAATTGGGATTAAAATTCGATTAACTGAGCAGCCCTAATCAGAGGATTTCCCTTCCAGTTGTTTTTGATCCACCATGTCATCTGAAACGTTTTAAAACTCCTCTTCCTTTTGCTGACAGAACCTGTATTAAAACAGGTGCTTGGAGACTGGATTTTAACCGTTATGCAGATCATTTGCTGCAGAAACAGTCACGTGAAATACGTTTCTCTCAGATTGCTAAGAGAAAACATGCAGAGCAATAAAAACTCAAACAAGTTCTGGAGGACCTGCTGTCGTGGATCCCACTTTGTCCCACCTTGTCTGTGACCTGGAAGAGCTCCAGGTAACTGAAGAGAAGCTTGACATCCGACAGGCCGCTGCAGGCCAGCTTATTCTGGGACAGTCTGGGGTTCTGAAGGAGACGCTCAGCTAGGTCCCGTCCCCCTGAAACACAAACAGCTTCCACGTTAGCTTGTCTACGGGATGGAGACTATACCAACTTCAGGCACTCATGGAACCGGCCAATCATATTCATGTCCTGGCCAAGACGGCGGGGCACATTGTCCACAGCGTTGGTGGTTTAGAAACAGCCATAAGGTTTAGTCGCTCTGCTCAGAATATAATAAGTGAACAGAGCTGGACAGACGATTATTAGAGATCAAAATACAAATGAGGAATTCTTAGGAAACACCAGAATAAATCCTAAATATTGTAATGATTGTTGCTAGGGCATCTGGTCAGGACGCCTCCCTGGTGAGGTTTTCCGGGCACGCCCAACTGGGAGGAGACCTAAAGGAAGACTCAGGACACGCTGGAGACTGCCCCTCAGCTGGCCAGGGAACGCCCCGGAGGATCTGGCCCAGGTGGCTGGGGAGAGGGAAGTATGGGTCTCTCTGCTGCCCCCGCGACTCGACTTCGGATAAACGGAAGAAAATAGATGGAATATGTGGACATCTCTCCTCTGATTGTCTAACAGCAACACGACAACCACCGACTCTGGTTGACTCTCCCCAATAACTCAAGTCTGGAGGAGTTCTGCTGTGTGATGGAGTTGCTAATGCTAACAGTTAGCTTCTACTAGCTGAGACGTTCTCTGCTGTTTCCTGGATGCTAAACCAACAACAGCCTTCCCCGTCGTGAGTCCAGATGTTAGTGACAGCGTGACGTAGATCTGTCAAGATTTTCTAATCCTAGAGTTTCACCGTCTGTTTTCTATCAGAAGCTAATGCAGGAGATAGGTGTAGGAGACTATTTTCATGTTCAGCCTGCATGAAACACTCAGAGATTATGATCAGAAATGATAATTAAAAATGATTTTTTATTGTTCCACACCTTCAAAAGCACGATGTCGTTTTGCCTGGTGCTTTTGTTCTGCACAGACGAGGGGAACCTCTCTTACCTCACACTTGTACAACAACCTTAATCTCACGGATCAGTAAGAAAGCGCTGCTCTGAGTCTTACGTTTTTACCTGGTTAATATTTAAACATGTCGGCAAATTTTGGTTTGCTTTCTCAAACACAACATTCCCCAGTTCAAGAACTCGGTCGGCCCCTGAATTAACACGAACAGTGGTCCTTCTGGACAGGCCCAGTGAGATGGAGGGATACAAAAATATTTCAGAGGTGCTGAGAGTGGAAACGTACCGCACAGTTTACAGAGTCTTACCCTGCATGCTGACGAACTCCCCAATCAGATCTGCAGCCTGCTCCGACAATCCTTTCTCATTCACCATCTCGTTCTTCACATCCTCCCAGGACATCTGGAGAAGCAGCACAAGGACGCATGTTAGGCTGATGCACCAGGAGACAAACTCAAGCTACACTGACCCAGAGATTTTCTGATCGAGAAGACGTGAGAACACACGTAATGACCACTTAAGAGCAAAATAAGTTAGCGGCTAGTGCTAGGGGCCAGCGCTAATCGTGCACGGTGCATTCTGAGTCGTTTATGTCCACATCTTAATGCATCGATTATCAGATTATTTTCCTCAGTTCTACGAGCACCTCGCCTAAACAACCAACATGCTCTGATGGGTTTATAGATATGCCTGTTGTGCCGACAGAATCAGATTTTTTAACCTCCTCATTAGGGGAGGGAGGGAGACTGCATTAGGGGAGGGAGGGGGAGAGAGAGAGAATCTGATTTTTTTTAACCTCCTCATTGGGGGGGGGGGAGAGAGAGAGAGAGAGAGAGAGAGAGAGAGAGAGAGAGAGAGAAAGAGAAAGAGAAAGAGAAAGAGAAAGAGAGAGAGAGAGAGAGAGAGAGAGAGAGAGAGAGAGAGAGAACACCCAAAACAGAAGACCACATAGAAGCATGAGCAGAGCGGAGCCTTCAAACCTTGTCTAGTTTGTCCACCGTTGAGCAGATCGTTCGAAACTTGTCATCTGGAACGCCGCAAGCAGCAAACATCCCATCGAGGATGCGCCTGTCATTGACCTGGAGATACAGGATGTCATCAGGAAGCGACCTGTGACCAAGTGGTCCTGAACACCGGGATGAAGCAAGTGACTAACCTTAATGCGGAAGTCTCCGAGCTCCAGCTCACTGAGAATCTCATGAACTATCTTGAGACACTCAGCATCTGGGATCATGGCATCATACTGGCCTGCTATGTCAAAATCCTAAAGCACACAGAAAGCGTTACTACGGGGTTCAGAGAACAGCGGATTAAAGTTTTCTGGGATCCCAGAGCACTTACACACTGGTAAAATTCTCTGTAACGCCCACGGGTCATGGATGGGTTGTCACGCCGATAGACCTTAGCTATGTGGTAGCGCTTGATGTTTGTAATCTTGTTCATGGCCAGGTAGCGTGCAAAGGGCACCTGGAAGAGGATAAGTAAAGGAAAAGGCACCACGCTTTGCTGCGCCGCTGCAAGGGAAATCAACGTGATGATAATATGATCAGACAGGTTATTGGCTAGTGACTACGTCTGTTATTGCCCTGGATCATGCTGGCGGACGCGATGACGGAAGAGGCTGAGCCACGAGTTAAAGAGGAGCATGAACGGGCATTGTTTGGACCGCTTCAACACATTCTACGTTTGTTTTCTTGAACACTTCATGCCAGGTTTAAAAGCTTATCTGACCTCTAGAGGAGAACAAAGCAGCCATCCTGGTCCGTCTGAAACCACAGGGTCTTCAGCACCCTGAACCAGTTTGCTTACAAGTGCTGGCTTAAGTCTGGTGAGCCGCCACGGAGCAGTGAGGAGCAGCAGCTACGGGTGCTTCACACGTATGCGTGGCTGTTGTTAAGCTGCTGAAGAAGCCATGTTTTCTTCTAACTGGTGACTTTGTTCATCTTGATCAGATGTTGTAACTGTGTGACGGAGCCAGACCCCGCCCCTCCAAGGTGAACACCCTAAAACACCAGGAAGTAAACTGGTAGCGTTCGGTTACGCAAACAAACATGAAGAGAACACTCCAAGTTGTCAGGACCATTTGGTCTGAAGGATACAGTGAGGTCGTATCTG